CAAAGAAGTTCTTTGTCCCAGGGAAGCATCTTCTCTGAGTCTCTCCTCCGCAACTTTAACGGCAAGATCAACAGGGATTTTAGTGAAGAGCGAAACAACGTCGAAAGATACTGATTCTTCACAAGCGTTAAGAGTTTTATCTCTTGTGAAATCCGCAAATTCGCAGGAATTTTTGACAGTGTAATCAGTATTCCCAACAACAAATCGTGACATACCTACGCACAAGTTTGTCAGTAATTATTATATTAGAAATAACAACATAGCGCTTTACCTCTGGAAAGAAGATGGCGTTCAATTCAAATTACCCAGACAAGAATTCAAATGACTTTCAGGATCTTTTTTGCTTTTTTTTTTGTTTTTGTTTTTTTGCGTGATTGCTTTCATCGTCTTACAAGTAAATGAATATTTGATCCAGAAGCTTTATTTTAGGAATAAAGATTATGAACTCTCTCTTCTTTCTATTGAAGACAAATAATCATTTGTAAAACCATTTTCGGTGTTTCATCCCCTTTGCCCACAGAAATCCTATTCCTGGGAGATTGCTTACATATGTCTTCAATGATCATAACAGGATGTGATCAGCCAGCCGTGAAAAGGAGGCCTTTGTTAGTTAGAAACTATGCTAAAAAAAATAATAAAAAAATGCAAGTTCAAATTCGAAAGCCAAAATAAAGTGTGTACGTGTTCCATCCTATTTTACTCTGCGAGTCTAACTTAAGGCCTTTAGGACTCGCGTCGCGCGAGCTCGAATTTCGTGATCTAAAAGTCGACCCAAGATGACCTCCGTCTGACGCATTGCGAAGCTATGGTAACTTATGAATCCGGCATCGGTTGGGTCGAGAAGGCCAAACATCCCTTGGGGCGTGGACGCAATTTACAGTGTTTGCTTCCATAAGGTGCTAAATTGTTAGATGTGTATTGAGAACAGTCCCTCCACTTAGAAACTTCCATGAAATGATGGCCCGAAGTTATCTCCAGCGAGTTCCAGTAAGGCTCCACTGGCTACGGGCTAAGCTGAGAAAAATGTCATGAAAGCCTAAAAAAAAGAAAAATATTCGAATAAAGTTACAGCACTTTGGTCCCAGAGCAACCTGAGCGTGAACAATTTTCTCTTTTCCATCCTGGCACAAAATTGTTTAGTGAAATGAACACGATTGGAATGCTTGCGAAATATTTAAAATACGGTACGCATATTTCATGTTCAAAAGTTTGACAAAACCGAAAAGCAAGAAATCTCTCGGTCTTCATAACAACTGCGCAAAATTAATTGTTTATTAGACTGGAAATTGTAAGGAGGGAATTCGAGAAGAATCCTCTCTCCACATTCCCTGGATGGCGTCCAGTTCCGAGTACGTAAACATTGCAATCGCTTGACCCGACGCCTCAAACGCTTTGTTTAACACGCCCCAGCTGACAGAAAACTCCTGTCAACCCAGGCGAGACTGATCGGGACGCCAAACAATCACACTATTTACAAACACTTTATCCCGTGTGGTGTAGTTTCCACCGCTTGGGTTGTACATCGTAGCGAACTCATCTTAGCAATTCCAAGTCCAGTGAAGGCCGGAAAGGAAAGTTGATAAATCATGGGCAGGTGTAAGAACGAACGTTTGCGTTCCTGCTGCGGTAAAGTCTTGCACCACATTCGCAAAGAACTGCTTCTCGTCCTCATTATTTTGGGAGTGCTCGTCGGCTTCATTATCGGTTTATCGGTAAACAAGAGTGTGAACGATATCAAAGACCCAGAAAAGAAAGCTACTACTATCATGTTGATTGGTTTTCCGGGTGAGCTCTTCATGAACATGCTGAAGTTGCTAATCCTGCCACTGATTGTTGCAAGTTTGATCACCGCCTTGGCCACGCTGGACTCCAAAGCCACGGGAAGAATTGGTCGTCGAACTGTGCTTTACTACATGGGAACTATGCTGATCGCTGTGCTTCTTGGAATCGTCTTAGTCCTTTCTATACGCCCGGGAGAACGCAGCAAACCTGAAGGAACCGACGAAAAGCTCTCGAGACCTTATCGTGGTCTCGATTCGCTTCTCGATCTTTTGAGGTGAGCTTTGATTATGGATTGATATTTGTCATATTAATGACAATTGTCAAGTCTGTTGGAAATGGCGACAGTGCAAAATTAATCTGTTATTCCTTGTTATTCCATGCATACTATGTGTCACGGTCAACTTTTCGCCAGCGAAACTTGGCCGCAGGAGCAATATTTTTAAGTAAATAAGCGCAGAAATGCAAATTATTCCTTTCACTTGGTTATACTAGAAAGGTCTGAAGCACTTTTGTTTCCATTTTAAAACTATTTTCGCTCAGTTCCGTCGATAATCGATTCCGTTGATGATTTCCGTGACAGTGCATCAAGACTCCATGAAATGGTAGATCACTAACACAACCGTTTGGCTTGAAAAACAATATCCACCGCTGTGAAGGGATACAAAATGCAAATATATTTGTCTTAGTTGACAGCCATAAATTCAGTTGACTACAATAACATGACATCAATGTTACATCTGTTTCAAGAATATTCCACTTCAGATGGACGTCATAACGTGAGGTCTTTTCAAGTCAAGTCAAGTAAAATTGTGTTTAACTCACATGAATATTCACAGAGATGACAATGTTTGTACAGTTGAGTCAACATATTAATGCAAACATGAAACATAAAACATTAAAAAAATATATACATATATTATTCTACAATGCATTGTAATTGTAATATAAAATGATAAGCCTTTTAAGCAACCTTTAGTATGACGGACAATGAAAATGAATGTACGTTTCATCTTTCGGTCAAGGACCCCTGACAAAATTTAATGAATAAGCTTATCTGTCTACAGTTTTTTATCATTCTAATTTTACAACACCGGGGGTTCTGCTGGAGTTCAATAATTTCAATTCATGTTTGCGTACAATGATTGTTAGTGCCTGACTGACCGTGCATGTAAATTATCACCAAATCACTTTTCCCATATCAGTAATGAGGGCGGCGTCAGAAAAGGGGCTTGATTTCGCCGGGCACGAGTTTTTTCTCTGGTATATTTCCGTCTTTTTCGTCATTTTTCCGTCTTTTTTTCTGTCACGCCCGTCATCTACTGTTACTAAGGGTGTCAAGTTTATCTTAAGATTCCCGATCGGTTGCGTTTTGAATAGCAAACGGCCTACACTTTTACACTGTCTGGGCAAATAACTCGCAATTTATCGATGTGATCTCAGGAAGGAAATTTGTGTCTTTAAGAAAGTTTTTTTCTTTCGATACCAAGGGGATATATATTAGCAAATTTACCCAAACCCAGAGAGGGCTATTTTATTCGGCCAAACATTGAAAGATGACAATTGACAATGACCTTAAGAATATTCGGTCTCATAAAGCCACTGGGCTAGATAGCTTCACTGTTCGCATACTTTCGTATTTTGAAAGGAAGAAATCAGGAAGCAGATAGGGAAGATCACGGCGTTGTCTGGGATGTGTCGATTCTACTAAGTGTACTTTTAACGGCCGCACTAGCATCCTCGCCTAAGGAAAACGATTCTCTTGTTTGTGGAGGTCTCCTTGACAACACTGATTTCCCTGCGGAAAACCATCGTATTATTATTAAGGCTACCTTCAAATCGAGATCAGCCTCCACGCAAACGTCTCGGAAAACGATTCTCTTGTTTGTGGAGGTCTCTTTGACAACACTAATTTCCCTGCGGAAAACCATCGTATTATTATTAAGGCTACCTTCAAATCGAGATCAGCCTTCACGCAAACGTCTCGGAAAACGATTCTCTTGTTTGTGGAGGTCTCTTTGACAACACTGATTTCCCTGCGGAAAACCATCGTATTATTATTAAGGCTACCTTCAAATCGAGATCAGCCTTCACGCAAACGTCTCGGACAACAGACTTCCGTAAGATAGGCTATCGATAATAAACTTTAATGAAACTAAAGTATCTTAAAACTTGGACTAGGAGCCTTTTGTCTCTTCATTTTATTTTGATTCCTTATTATTGCATTACAGGAGCTGCTTTCCGGTGAACCTTGTGGAGGCAGCTTTCATACAGGTTAGTGGTTTCTAAATTAGTCCTCAACCGCTGGAACATTCCGTAGATTTGGTGGCAAAAAATGAAAGCTTACGGGTTAGGGTTAGGGTTAGCCGAGATAGTCTTTGTTCTCGAGGTGCTGGAGGAAGAGGGAGAAACTTTAAGCCAAACATGGAAGGGGGGGAGGCTCATATTAGAGAGTGGGGCTTACCAGAGAGGGAGAATGGTTAAAACGTTTCTGGGTTTTTTGTTCAATTTTTAACAGAGTAGCTTTTACTCATTTTATTTCTTGTGTAACCCCTTCCTATAGACTGTTAAAAGCTATTCTATACCTTCACTCAGGAAATCCCTTTCCTTTCGTACATCTTTGACCTGAAAAAGTTTACCCATTTGGCAGGGTACCCTTGTAAAGTCTAATGAACATGGCGAGTTCCACCCCCCAGGACTTGTGTGTTTGAATTCGATTTCTTTATTTTTTTAAGCAAGCCTTTTCTTTTTTTCGTGGTTAATCTTTATTGTCAGAAACGTACCAAATACAAGACTGTCGATCCCGTTGTTAACGAATACAACGAGACAATTAGGAACGGGACTCACAATTACACAGTTCTGAAGGAAGAGGAACTAGCTCCGGGATCATCGATGGTTCCCGCGGGACTCGAAATTGCTTCCCGAAATATGAACGTCCTTGGGTTGGTGGTATTTTCTATTGTGTTCGGTATCGTGTTGGGGCGCGTTGGAGAGCGTGGATTGCCCATGAGAGCCTTCATTGAGTCGCTGAACGAAATCGTCATGGAAATGGTATCATTAGTCATGTGGTAAGATATTCATCGCAATGACTAAAGTAATGAGTCGCAATTAATGAAAATAAAGAAGACTATGCTAGGTTGTAGATCGCTAAGGGCCTGGGAAAGAGGAGAGGAGGGATATGCCAGCAAGAATTGTTCAAAAGCCGGTATCGGGATTTTAGATCTTAATATAATTGTTTGCTGATTATCAAAATGGCCGCTTCGCGTTTTGTCCATCATGTTACCGAGGAAGTGATAAACACGGCATGAGAGAATTCAAATTCCGAGGAGTACAAAAGATGCTACTAAGTTTGGCCTGACACTTCTTAAAATTAAGAAAAGATGTTTCTTTTTCTGATTGAATTAAATAAATAAGCTTGTCAAATTCTAGTGGAAATTGGCTGGCCAAAAATTGTATTTTTTATTACTGCACGAGAACTTGAAAATCATAAAGCAACAGCAGTAAACCAGAAGGATGATGAGCATCATCAGAATTTCGCTGAGGAAAGTGATAAGTGGTATCCGTGGTGGTTGAAAATTTTTGATGGATTTTAACCAAAACAAACAGGAAAATCGAACACCACCCCATTTAAGCTGTTTAATTTCAACGCTAATCGTCGCCTTTTTTTCACCAGGCTCTCTCCGATTGGAATATGTAGTTTGATAGCTGCTAAGCTGGCCGGCATGGGTGATATTGGGCAGGCATTCAAAATGCTGGGGTATCTTATGGGTACCGCCATCGCTGGTCTTCTCTGCCACGGCTTTATTATTTTGCCGCTGGTTTATTTGATCTTCACGCGGAAAAACCCGATTATTTACATCAAAAATATGTCGGATGCCATATTTACAGCGTACGGTACAGATTCCAGGTTGGTGTCATAATTATTTCTGTTTTTTTTGTAGGGCTCTTAACCCTTCGAACCATGCATGACGAACTTTTAATTTCTTCTCACAAGATCACCCCTGAATCAAACATTAAGGTCAGGAGAATAAAGCAGATGATCACAGACTGAAGGAGTGTTTGATTTTCAAACAGATTCTCCTTACACGCACCATAGGAAATGTATATAAAACAGTATGGAGAATATGCATATTGATGTCAGGGTGTTAAGGGTTAAGTTGTAAATCCCTTATGCGTCGGTCGATTACATAGGGTGCGTTTCCATTCCAGCGAAACCAAGATTGTCATACATGTTTGTTGTAAGCGGCGTCCCAGAAATCTTTTCAGCTGATTGAAATGACTCCTTGTGTTACCACTTGCCCCATGTATTGCTGAGTCGGGTTCGATGGGCAGGTCTACGGCTTCCGAAAGGCGGAACTTAGAGAAATCTTGTTGGCGAGGTCGTCGGTATCACTTTGATTGGAAAGACCCTGGA